CGAAAGAACAAGAAAGAGAAGTTATTACGCAAGTCACTATCATTTTTAGAATCAAATAAATGTACGTTTTCTTTGAATTAAGAACAAAAATAAATCACAGATCAAACTATGCACGAATATGTACGGTGATGTCAATTCGTCGAACTTGTTGCCGATATCTAAAATATGCACAGAAGGAAGCATCGTGTGTGCTGGACTATATATATATATATATAATATTCAAGTTCGCTTTTCTCATTGTCAGACTTATTCGTAAATTTATTACTTCGTTTTTTTATATATACATATACACACAAAACGGTATGTATGTACATGTTGTGGTCAAATGAAATATATAATTTATTTCTAAAAAAAAAAACAAATGATCTGTTTTTTGAATGAATTATAAAAAATAAGATAGGTATTAATGAAAAGAAAAACTATAGTACATCTTGTCAAAGACTTAAAAGATTTGTTAGAAGTTCTTTGATATTAGTCAATTTTTCATAAAAATTTTAAGAGAACAAATACTGGACTCGAATACAAAATCAACATGAATAATTATAATATACAAAAGCAGTATACTCGTAATATGAAAATAGCTCAAAGCATTAAAATCTCATCGTTAAACGGTCCGACAAAGAATCTTTTTTTTCTTCAAATGCCGAATCATTAATACTATGTGATCATTATAGACATTAATATTATCTATCGTACGCTCTGCTTTTAGCAGTCTAACTATTTTCGAAAGAAATTTTCGAAAATGTTGAAAAAATAAATGTTGACCTCTTGCGTAGAACGTAAATGCTACAATAATATACATATATAGTAATTAACAAGTGTTACAGAAACGTTTTCTTACAACTTTTTAACGATACGATAGCAATATACGATAGTTATACACATACTAAAATTAACCGCAAAATGTAACAATATTTCAAGAATGTTGTACTATTCGATAATGTTTTTTCTGAATTCTTGTCGTTACTTCTGTTACCACGTAAAAAAGTCATAACATATTTTGATTATTATATATATATATATGTATATATATGTATGTATATGTATGTATAGACAATTATATGGCGAGAAATATCGTGGTGAAAATTATGCTGGACACCAAAGGGTTTATGCGAGAAAGGGCTACATTATTCGTCGACATTTAAGCAACAGTTCCTTATCTGTCGATATCGTCATAGTGTACATGCATCTTTCGTCTACGCCTCACGTATAAACATGTTTACTAAAAATAGTACATTCTAATCGAGAATATATAGAAAAATTGAAAAATATACAAGTTATAAAACACATAGAATGTCATTCTTCAGGTAGCGAGTGACTTACGAAGTCCGACTGCTTTTTTCTGTTACGTTTCCGTCTGAGTGCTGTCTTTCTTTAGGATCGTTAGTACTATACATTCTATTTTCTTCTCCTAATCAACATCCTTTTAACCTAGTTTTCTTTTTCGATTTGTAAAACAAATAATTTTTACATCCTACTATATCAAAATCCACACTTGTTACGATCTCTGTACAAGCGATTCGTCCACTAGACAACCTTATTATTGTATCGCGCACGTTCTTTGGTATCCAACAGGATTCTCCACATTGATTTTTATTGAGAATTGTTTGTTTCTGTTGAACGGACAATAATCGTGGTATGGGCAGTGAATGAACAAGCAAGTACCAATATTAAATGGGCAGGCTCTCCCACTGAGGTGCCCATTCTGGAAGTCGTCAATCCACAGTGGACGGCGGAGCAGCGTATCTGCTTCGCGAGTCGGAATCACCGTCACAAATGTATCTTCCTGCATTTGAACAAACATGTCTTTGTTTTAGAACCTTCTCTATCTTTTTCTTGTTAAGATGAAGGTGATTCATGTGAGAACAAAACTGGCGTCGAATCAATACAAGAAAAAAATACGTATATGTGACACTTACCAGATACGAATCTACGCTTTACTAAACTTAATCTATATCCTGGACCTAAAAGCTCGAACTCGACACCGGATAATGTGGTCCCTTCGCAATTAAATTGTGTGAATATCGTTCCTTGGTTTCCTGGCCCGTGTCCAAGTTCCACCCGCGCTTTCAAAGAGCCCACACCGTTGCCTTCGCTATGTTGCGACAACTCCGTGAACTTCCATAACACACGATTTGTTTCTGATAACCATTGAGCCTGAGGTTTACTGTTCAACGATTTGAAACCTCCGTCTATCGGCGCTGCCACGTGAAGGTTCAACAGAGGACTCGGAGAAGCCATGGCGCGGCTGTTATATTTGTAATCAATCTATGAATCACACAAATTCTATTGTTATTCTTGTTTTTTTCAGTGTTTTCTCTCTGCTGCTATTAAGTGAATGAAGAGAGGAAGTACTTTAAGGTCCGTGTGAGTAGTTTCGCATTTCCAATAGGCGACCAGTTGGAAAGGACATGAACCGGCGCCTTCTTTGCATTTGATCTGATACTTGAGTATGTCGACATTAAAATACGAAGCCGAGGGATTTTGTTCAGCCTGCTTCCGTAACAGTGTAGTTAAGGCACTCATGTTGAATTCGAAAATTGTACTGTCGACCGTAGTCTGCGTGGCATCCCTATAACATAAGCATCAAGGCTCGTTTGATGCATACCACCACCGAAACAATCCTATTCGTCATCCTATTTTAATTCACTTACATACTGACGAGCTGATTATTAGGAAACAATTTCTCTAATCTGTTACTGTTTCGCACGCGGAACGTCAGCTTCGCAGGACTCGGATTGTTTGCCAACACGGTGACTATTCCAGCGGGAAACGATAACATCATGTCGCCGCTTAATTTCACTTGGCACCGTGTTTCGTCGGTGCCCCTGAAGTAAGAGTGTACGATTTCGTGAAAAGCGACAGCTAGAGGGATCGTATCAGCGAGGCCTATCGTGAGAGGTGACGGTCCTCTGGAGGAACCGACACCAACGCCGGCCGTGCGAAACTCCAAACTGGCCACACTATCAGCTCTGGATATTGTCGCTGGCGACATCCGACCTCTTGACGATGGACCCTCTCCTCTTCGAGACGGCGGTCTAGGAATGATTATGGATCCCGTTGGCGTGGAAGATGCGGATTGCTTTGGGGGTAAGGCCGGAGTGATGTCGCCCACTTCCGAAAACAGATCTCCGTCTACGCAAGATAGATTTATCCTTTATTTTTCGTTAGTTTACTTTTTTCTCCACGTTTTTGACTACTCTCATCTTCCTTATGGTACAACAAAATTTGAGACCTGCGCAATCTAACAAGTATAGCATACATCTAGAACTTTTTATCCGGAAATCAATTTGCTTTTAAAACATGGATTTGAACACTGCGGGCCATTATAATCAGGAGGATAAAACAAAACTTAATAATAAATCATACTTTAAAATTAACAAATCTTAAGATTTCATTCATCGTATGCTTCTGTTTAAGCTGAAATGCAATACATATACGCGATGCTCACAATAACAAAGAAAGCGACCGAGTGAGAGTGTAACAAAATGTATCCCGCAACCGTATAAGCCGTAGACTCACCAGGGAATCGTGTGTGAGGATGTGTAGGTGGTGCGGATTGTGGCGGCTGTGGTTGAGGCGTCGGTGACAAAGACAGTGGCGGAGGACTTTGCAATGGCGCGTACGGATGGCTACCAGTTGGCGTTGAGGCGCTCGATGGTGTACTGCTGGGATTGAACAAGTTTAGGCCAAGTAAATCCGAGCTTGGCTTACCTCCTAGTTGCTGTGACACTGACTGAGACCTTTTCATATGATGATCTGAGTCGGTGTTCGATCCTCTGCGTCCCTGTTCATACAAAATCGTAATGATATCGTCGGAGAAATAACATTCGTATAATTAATTAGTTTAAACAATTAGATCAATCATTAATGATTCGGGTTGGTATACCTATTATTCGAGGATTAAATCTCTAATGCGAAAAGCAAGTAAGGAAAGTACCGTCGGTGCAGGCGATAACGATAAATTCTCCACCGTCGCCCTGAGTTCGTCCACGCTGGCGCTCATCGGTGCTCCGCCGTTGCTGAGCGGTTTTATTTCCACTCGTATCTTCCGTTCCCTCTCGTCTTCAGAGTCGGTGTCTGAACTAGAATAAAATCCTTTCTGATTCTCCCACGGCTCTGATTTCGGTCTAATACAGAAACCATCCTCGTCTACTTCCGGCGTCGGTGTCTCGGATTTTCTACTGTCATCCTTATCCTCCCTATTGTATAGAATTAGCGCGGTTCAGTGGGATGTACTTTCGAGGGTTCCAGCAGGCCCAGTGCATCATATAAATATATTAAAATATCTATAATTTTTTAATACATATACGAAAAGTAAGTGCGTAAACAGACATTTAATCCTTCTTAATTTTAGCTTAACAACGATGACTCAGTGCTTTTACTGTATGAATGAAGTGCCAATAAAAAAATTGGAACGGAAAAATTACGAAAACTAATAGATGACTAAGATCAAATCCATGATAAAATTTTTTGTATATAAAATGATTATTAACAACTTAAAGTTCCATTTCTGTACCGAAAATTTCTGTACTGAAATTAATAAATAATAATAATAAAAACTTGATCATGGGATTAATCTTTGGTGCACTAGATCTGCTGAAAATGCATATACTGACAGGTCAGACTTTTCTTCTTTGTTGCTACTTGTTTCCACGATATCCTTCTTCTTTTTCGCTTTCTTTTCCTTTCTCTTTTCTCTCCTGCTGCGGAGGAACCCTGTTGGTCGTGGACACAGTATATAAAGAACAATGCGACAATCTATAAATCTACTTTGATTATTTTCGTACGAATTGTAAAATCGTGATTTCTAATTCCAACTATGTATATATACATATATAAATATAAATATATATGTGTATATATATATATGTGTGTGTATGTATTCTATTGTAAAATTCGATGAAAATTATCTTTCCGTTGTATATCTGAATCAAAAATTAAAGACAACAAACTTTCTCGTTAAGCAAGTACACAAGCCTGCGCTTATATAATTTAAATTTATTTATAACGTTATAGATGTACGTATATACAAGGGAAAGAGCTTTTATCGAATAAATATGTACTTGACTGTCGTGAAAGATATTACTCAGTCAAATAAATAGTAGAAAAGAAGGGACTAATTAACTAAAACTAAGAAGCGGAAAGAAACTACGTTTGCGGTGTCAACGTATTTGTACCAAAAGAACATAGTTAAAATATGATCTTCGATTGAAGAAATGCTGCGGTTCAATGACAGATGGAAATTAATTTACTTTCCAAGTGGTTTTTAAAAGGCATAGCGCAACGTGATTAAATACGTAGAAGTCTACAAGTCAAACAAAATACATACTTCGTCATCGATTCAACATGTAGCGGATGCATTCTTTAGGAGCTTCCTATATACGACATTCTTTCTAATTATGCTGACATAAATTTCTGTACGTATTTCATATCACCTTAATAATAGTATCTAAATAATTACTCGTGACTTTATTGTTACAGTGTAGTAGTATTGACAATATTGTTTACGAGTCATTCTAATACTGTATCTCGCATGAAGAAACAGAAAAGCATATCAGCACATTCTAAAAAGACGTTCACAGGGCTCAATGCCTGCATCAAGTCAGACAAAATGATGATATAAAGGATACAGAAAAAAATAGCAAAAAGGAATAGCACGTTACATTTAGCAAGAAGATATAAGGAAAAATCCATACACCATCACCATCGAATCCTATAAAGACCTGTAAAAGTCTTCTGTCTTAAATTGTTTTTCTAACAATTAATATTTGTATATATTATAATATATACGTCCTACAGTATTAATATTAGGATACGATTTCTTAAGATAAACGATATGTGTATACGTGGTTGCGCAATCTTTTCACATAGATGTATATATTGTATTATATACTTCTCTAAGAAACGGCAGAGCATACGATACACATGTTCTGCAAGCAAGGATATTAACTATGAACATGCAAAATTGCGAACGAGAATTTACATAAAAATGTTGTGATGTAATCCTTGTACTTTGGACAGATTAACTGTCTCGAAGAATAAATCAATTCCTAATTGAAGTCAACAGAAAAATTTTAAAAGAGAGGGAGAAGTCTCCACGATAACAGAGAAACACTTACGAAAACTAGATACACTGAACAATAAATACGGCTAATAAACGAGAGAGGGTTGCTTGCAGAATCACATTACGCTATATTATGAATATAAACGTGATAAATATCTGCACTTGGAAAATAAATAAAAAAAAGAACACAAGTGAGCCATGCAGTAACAGACTCATAAATAAATGGCTCACCTGAGGCCCCGTCAGTAGCAAACCCCACCGTTTGTATTTCAACATTATCCAAGTCCAACTCCCTTTTATTTCAATTAATTCTATGAGACCACGTGTCTGTTTATTCGTAATAGAAGCAACTGAGAAAGTTTCAAAAATTGATTCTCTATATGATGTACCATATTTTTCTTAATCGTTTTCAAAGAGAGCGTTTATGTAGTAGTAAAATAATTTCAGAAACTTTCCTAAATGCATTTCATCTTAATTCTAAAGTTGAAATTAAATCCATTGAGTGAGTGTAAATACATATAAGGAATAAATATATTTATAATGAATAGTGTTGATAGAAAGAACCTTTCGGCATAAGTTCACATAAAAGTTTGTTAGAAAAACAATTTATATAAGTAACGTATCATAAAAAAGGAAAGAGAAGAGAATTGTTAAGTTGCCTGGTTAGATTACCTTGAAATTCTAGAACTAGTGCCTATTGTCTAAGCAAGCTGGATCCAAGTTAGTCAAATGAAAGAACGAAAAATATTTCTTCCTTGTAGAATGGATCAGATGTCTCTACGAATATGCCTACTTGAAATCTTACTGACCACTAATGTATATATATTTTCTCGAACAAAGAAAAACGCCTTAATGTAAGTTTTATAGGTGTTCGAAAAAGCGAAGAAATATTTTAAGTGTGCTTCCAAAGCTAAAAGTAAATCAATGTTACATATGTAATATGATTCTCCTAATTATCGGTGAATTAGCGATAAATTGGTTGTATTTCGACGGCATTGGCTTTCTATGCATGTAACATTAATTTAATTATCATTTAAACAATGTTAGTAATACGTACACTGCTGATCTAAAAGAGTGCAGAGTGGAGGAACCATAATACGCGTTACCACTGTAAGTCATCAGATATATTATTTAACCAGATATCCTGTATGTCATAAAAGATATTACGTTCAGCATACTAAGAATATTGAAACTGTTACCAAATACCATAGGTAAAGAACAACCAATAAAGCAAGACAAAGATAAAAGTGTACGAGAGGAGTGTTTGATCGAATCGATCATTTCTGAGTATAAGACTCTCTTACTTATTTAGGTTCCGAATGCTCAAAGAAGATTCGATACCATTATTATAAGAAGTGTATCATTGATTGAATGTTATTAGTAACTATGCAAATTCTCCGGTAATAAATCGTATAAAGATTCCAATTTTACAGGAAAGCCGTACAGCGACTCACTAATGATATACCCCCACCTTAATCATTTTGAACTAGCTACCAAAAACAGCCATGTTTCAGAAAAGATCTCCTGCGTGTGTATATATGTGTAAAAATAGTAGCGCGTAATCGATATAGACTAAAATAGTTATGTCTAAAATGTGTATGTAAAATGGGTATATGGCATATGGTAAGGGTACAGGTAATCACAATGTAAGCAGTTACATTTAGATCCTCTGAGAGGGTTCCTGGAGATGCTGGGAGGTGGAACAGCAGGAGGCAGGTTGTTCCCCTGAGGAGTTGCAGGTGCCGAACCAGACCCTGCTTGCTTCTGTTTGTCTGAAACAACACTCATTGCTTATATGTATCTTTCGATAATCTCTGCCTCCAACGGCCCTTTTTTCTTCATCTTGCTATTTCGTATACTTTACTTATATCTATTAAAATTTGATTACAGTTTGCACTTTCAGTGGCATGAACAGCACTCCAGAGGGGTGTATCCGATAGATTTACAAGTATGAGTCGTTCGTTTCAACGTTCTATTATCAAGTATATATTATTAAAGGGTTCGATAAATCAATTCGAAAAAGAAAAATCAACAAATAAAACGGAGAGCGAATTGTTTTTCGATATTCCACTAGACTTAGACTAACATGGGAGAGTTAATATAAGTATAAACCCCCTGGAATACATAATAAATTGTAATGTCATCCTCCACCTATTGTTAGATTATAATGCGCAAGCATTGTAACACATTCACATAAGCATAAGTCAATAAAGTTTTTTCGCGTATGCCTAGATCGATTAAAAATTTGTGATTCGGTGCTAAAAATAAAATAATTTCGAGGATGTATACATGTGAATAATAAATCGTGACGTGATCAAATAAAAAACTGCGTAAAATATCCACCAAGATATAACGCGAGCCGAAGCCTTGTAAACTGGTTCTCAGGAATGAAAAATGTTTGAATATTACAAATGTAGTAATAGAAAACACATTATATCAAGGTAGATAAAAACTATAGCAATTAAAAGAGAATAAAAAAAGTCTCATAAGATCGATTCATTTTAGAAACCTACCCTGGGAGTTGGACATGAACAGGTTGAGTAGCGAGGTAGTACGGCGGGAAGCCTTGGTGGCTTGTGCATGAGACAGTTCTCTATCCCTTTCATTCAGTCTTTCGTTTTCTTTTTCTTGTACCCTACCCTTTTCCTCATCTGTCTGACAACCCTCCCCCTTTAATCCCTGATCTTTTTTTGAACTGTGAGTGTTACCAGCAACGCCTGTCTCTCCATTGGCTCCCTTCGATGTTTCCTTTGGCGTCTCGGCGTTGCTTTCCAATTGAGAATGACCTGTCATATCACCTAAACCCGTCATGACCTCCTCGTATTCCAACATACCTGATTCGTAAAAAGATTAAGTAGAAGATATCACGGAGAGTCCTCTCGGCCAACCTATGTTCTACGTTTATAATCTACAAGGATTTTTACCTGGTTTCTCAAAACCCGTGTATTTGCTTTGTACAAATTGCTCTAGTAGTTTGTCCACCGTCATGTCCAAACACTGACGCTTAAAGTCGATGTGAACTTGACCAACTTGCTCGTGATTCGATTGCAACACGTCCGCGTACGTGTTTAAAAATTCCTTCATATGTTTTAAATGTGTCTCTTCCACATCTTGGAATCGCTTAGCAAGGAAACAACAGAGGTTCATTAATATTATTTCCCGTTTCCTCAGGAAGTTTGATACAAGATTAATGAGCAACGAATAGATACCCTGCATGCCTGAGTCATTTTGTTTTGGAAGTCGTTCCTTATGACCATGTACTTATCAACCAACGTTTTGTAATCATCCTGCGCTTTTTTGAACTTAATCTCCGCCTTCTCCAATTCTTTTTGGCTAGCATTATCTTTTCGTAATTTTTCCAGCTCGAGGCCTTTTTGCATACGCATATCTTTCGCTTTGTGTAAAGTTACAGTTATGCTCTGTATACTTTGTACTACCTCCAACGTCGACGATTCTTCTTCTTTTACCTACATGTTTTTCAGTTTATGTTATGTCACTTAATGCAAACGATTTCTTGCTTACGACATATGTAAATAAACCGCAGAAACATTAGTCGTAAAGAAATATGATAATTAATTGCTTTTATTTCTTTTCCATAAAATAAATGCTGTCGCTTCGAGTTGATAAGCATTATCTTTATATCTTCACAGACACTACTGTCTCAGAACCTACTGACCCGACTGTGGGCGGATATTGATAAGGTATAAAATATGTGTACATACATGTACAATAATTCATACTACATGACAATGAACAGAGAAAACAAAAAATATCGGCGCGAAACAGTAACACTGATTATGAAAATCATCAATGGAATTTTCTTATAGAAATATCGAAGTTTTTGCTCTCGAGTCGCATAATTCTTGCAATTTAAATTGATTATTAATCACGTAGAATACATCGAAACGCGGATACTTATTTCTAAATACGAAGATTAGAAGAGAAGATGTTACATACAGCCTTGTGCTTTTTATGCAGTTCATCTGTGTATTTCGATACATCTTTTATCAGTTCGGTGACCCTCTGGGCCATCTGCAGGTGTAAACCCGCGAGTTTTTCTGCCGCGCCTCTTAAGGCAGCCCAAACAGGTGCAAATGTTCCCTGTGTACTACTGCTACTCCCAGCCTGTTTCGCTAATTTGCTCAGGACCTTATAATTGTTTTCCTCTATCGTCGATCGTTCTTTTAGAAACTCAGCCAACTCCTTGCTCGCAACTGCACCATGCTTCATGTTATGATATAACACGTCAAATCCATTATTCTTTTCGCCCTTGAATTACACAAAAAAATTCTTTTTGTTCATCTCCGGAACACAAAACACATTTGCACATTTTTGCATTCTCATTATCCGCGTAAACAAATTTTTTTCGACTATTTTTTGTTAGCATCGACAGCCATTGAGAATTTATTTGCCAAAGTGAAATAAATCCATTTGCAATTAAAATAATACTATGCCTGAAAAGAATACACTAAAACTATAGTTAAAGACCACTTAACCACTTAACACTTGAACTCTGATCATACTGTAAATTCACATAGAGAAGGACTCTTGAGTAACATCAGCACAATAAGCTGTCATTACATATTATTACTCTTATCATCCTATTGTACATATTACTTGCCCCTAGTAGACTGTGACTTAATTTTTATTGCAGACTTCGATAATGAAAAACAAGACAAATCTTCCACATGAAAGTAATACAATAGAACTTTATTTTTCGCTCTGTTCCTTTTAATAAAAACTAAAGTATTTTTAACTATGAACTGTGATAAAATGTTCATTGTATATACACTTGACTATGTAACTTTGAATCGTTTAAATCATCATACATACCCTACCTACAATAATCTTCAGCAGATAGAAGTTTAAGTGAAACGAAAGGAAGAGGAGTTATCTTATCTGCACATGTCATGCTTCTGTCAGGAAAACAATCGAATTATCAAAAAAAATTCATGAAATTAAATCTTTTATAACAGCCACAGTAGAAAATTGTGACTGTTACAGTGTTTTATATAGAAAAATGACTTGCAAATGTTATTTTACTATAATTGCTTACAGAATGAGAACGAAACAAAGAATTAGGAGAAAAATATATTCAATACAATTGAAATACAAAGATTTACAAAATAATTCGTTAATTAATAAAGAGATAAAACTGATATGTAAGGAGATATTAAACCTTTCTAACAAATCCACTCCCTTTTACGTTCGAGTTTTAGATGCTTAAATAAGGAATACTGTGCACATGTCAATGTGCAACTGAATACGCATTCGTTTGGTGTTCTGTGCTGGTACCATGAATCTTGGTGATGATTTGCTCTAAATGGGATGACAAAAGAGGTAAAACGCGTAACCTCACATTCGCAAGAACGAATGGAGATGAACGTGCCGTGTAAAAGATGAAGAAAACAGGAAGATGATCCATGTGGAAAAAGATAGAAAGGTTTCGTTGAGCGGAAACTTCTCCTGATGATGTCGATGATATTTAGTTGCGGAGAAAAATGTTACGGCGGCATGACGTAGGTACGTCAGTGAGAAAGGTTCGTTTACGCTCGAAGTGGAACGAGAACGAAAGGGCACAAGAGGTTTTTCTTTTTCTCGCTCTCTCTCTTTCTCTCTCCCTCACTCTTCCTCTGTACATAACCTAAATCTAAATGAGAATGACATTCTGAGATGGACAAGCGTGAAGACACTCACCCAAAAGTATTCGGCGAAATCCACAGTCATGTTGGAACCGCGATCAAACCATCATAATTTTATCTTCTTCGGTATTAGGCGAAACGGCACCGTTAATCAAGAATCATTGACACACACATACACGCACAGTGAGGTTACACGATGCAACGTCCGCGCCGTACGCGACAGGACAGAATACGACGAGACGTAACTCAATTTACGACGAGATCATGCAACGTAAAATGTTTCGAGTACGGACGTTTCAAGCAGCAGGACGAGCGCGCTCGACCGAGGAGACACGGGTCAACTTTTATTCCAACTGTCTCCGTTACACGCCTCCCGTTTTATTACTCTCCTTCTCGTGAACGGCGTCTGACGCCATCTTATCAGTCGTGGTCAAAGCCGTCGAAGGCATCGAAGCCAAAGTTCGTCGGTAAAAAAACGTTCTTACTCGTCGTTTTCGATGATACAGATAAATATTATTTTTCTCTTGTTTTAATAGTAATTAAAAGCATCTGGGAGTAATGCCAGTTTTCAAATTACAAGACGGCGTAAATAGTGGGAACTTTTTCAAACAAGTATTAACCGTTAAAGTATCCGGTCGTTGAGATTCGGTAACGAAACCGGAAGTCGAATAAAAGCCAACTTTCGCTCTTCGTTTCAATTGCAGTTTTACTGTAGCGTGTGTCTTTATTTTTACGAAGCAGGATGTTTAGCATTGCCTGCTTCACCAATCATCATTTTTATTACATACGTTATACGAAATCCTGCGAAATCGTAGCGTATCTCGTAGTTAAATAATTTACCACTTTGTGGCGCTACCAAAGTCCAGGGCCGAGCATCTCTTTGGTATCCAACAAACAAGCAACCTGAATCGTTGTTTTTTCAGTTTTCTTTGATATTTTCAACTCGCGTGCGCATCGCGCGTTTTCCGAACAAAACACGAGTGGCCACTGCAATAAATCTATTAAAATACGTTGAACAATCGTCTGGTGAGATGATGAAACATTCAAAATTTCTAACTGTCACTGTAGATTGAATTGAAAAGATTCGTATCGGGCGGTAGTTACGTATATCGCCGTAATGGCCCTTTTACACTGCGTTTTCCGCTCCCATATTTCGCTCAGGGATGGTAAGCGGAATTCTGATTTCTAGTAGCGAAAAGACGGACAACCAATTCCGTAGTTAAAAATGCGAGGTATTGGCAATAGCGTGTAAAAGCTGGATGACGCGGGCCCGGTGTTTTGTGCATAAGTGAGAGTCAAGAGTACTGGTCAAACCCATGCTTGGGTGGAGAGCGGGGAAACTCAGATTTTTTTATGGTGGGAGAAACAAAGTTTTTCGCGCAGAAAAAGTGACGGTCTCGGCAGATGACCTTCTCCTGTGCGCAGAAAATATAAA